ATTCCTTAAAAAGTTGTAAATAGAAATACCATTTAAAACAGCAATCTCATTACTAGGTATAAATCTTAATGAATTAAGAGCCAGGACGCTAACAGCTATATGCACACCACATTCACTGCAGTACTATTTAAAACAGCCAAGAAATGGAAACAACATAGGTGCCCATCAATGGAGGAATGGATAACCAAACTATGGTATGCACAGATAATCCATTCTATACAACACTAAAGAATAACGTAGAATCCGTGAACCACCACAAAACATGGATGAACTTGGAGGACATTATGCTGAGTGAAATAAGTCAATCACTGAAGGACAAATACACATAAATCCACTATTGTAAAAAGTCAAGGAAAGGTTTACATATGGAAAGAAACTATTTTTTATTGGTTATCAGGGATGGGAGGGGAAAGGAGGGAAAATTCCTAGATAAGTAAGAGACAAGTATTGATTTGGGTGATGGGCAAAGCAATATACCAAAAGCAAGTGACCAACACAGTAATATTAAGGAAAAAGAAGACACAGAGGTACACAAGAGGTACAGACAACAAAGATCAAATTTTCCATACACAATACTGCATTATCAGTAATAAACAATCTACAGGTGGATACACAGACAGGATGAATAATCAGGTATGTCTTGGCAAAAGGGAATATACCCATGACCATACATAAGTTCGGCAGGTATTTCTGCATACATCTATGTATGTCCTATAACAATGTCTATATATATAATAGAGCTAACGGGGACAAAGTTTTAATAACTTCTTAGCCACAAACACCCTGAAGGAGTGAGTCACTCGGCCCATGTGCTTAAAATCATGGTCAGGGGGAACATCACGCTCAATTTACTACACAAAAACATTGTCCTACATCCAACTTTGGTGAATAGCACCCGAGGTCTTAAAATCTTGCAAGCAGCCATCTAAGATGCAACAATAGATCTCTCCTTATTCGGAGCAAAGAACAATGAAGAAAACCAGACACATGGCAATAATCAGTCCAAAGGATTAGTGGAATGTATGAACTTCAGGCTACATGAAAAACTAGATAATGCCTGGTACCACTGTCAACTACTCATTAAGGGATACTGGATAGAGTGGGAGAAAAATGTGGAACAAAACTCAAAATGATAAAAAAAGACCAGGCTTACTGGTCTGATAGAGACTGGAGAAATCCTAGAGACTTTGGTCCCTAGTGCCTAAGGCATTTGACTGCTAACCTGAAGGCAGTGGTTCAAACCCACCAGCCACTCCTTGGAAGAAAGGTCAGGTAATCTACTTCCGTAGTGATACCGCCTTGGAAACCCAAGAAGGGGTTGTTATGAGTCAGATCTGACTCCATGGCAGTTGAGTTTAGCTGGCTAGAAGGGCCATATGAAGTAATTCATTACACTGCAGTCACCAAGGAAAGCATTTCAGGAAATGCTCTAGTTTCAAATGATGATGTTGATGAAATGGAGTTATTTCTCAAAATGAAAGGAAAGTTAAATTGAGATCAAACAACTCTACTATTAACATTGATTCCATATTAACAAGCTTTGATGGTGTACAAAGAGTTGAGAGAAAAAATAGTATTCTTGAATTTTTGGAAGAAAACCATTCACATCCCCAGTAATAAGAAATTGCCATAGCAGTAGTGGGTGTACCAGCTACTCAGGTCAGTGTTGAGAGCTTTCTCAGGTTTGAAATTCATCTTGCAAGACAATAGGGATGGCTGAAATTAAAAAATACAGGCATTCTTTCAATTAGGTGTAATTATGGTTTATTGCAATGATGTTTTCTTAATTAACTGTATAACTGTGTATGAATTCAACCTATGCTTGTAATAAAATGTTTATGTAATGTATGGTCATTCCTCAGCCTACAACTAGGGTGAATATTAAAATATTAAATATCGTATTCCACTTTGCCTTTATATATTAATGTATTAGGTAGGATAGTACACTTTGTATTTCTAGTATCTGTGAATAATTTGTCCTCAATTTTATGTGACTATTATGTGTTAGTAGTGATACGTTCCTTTCATGAAAATTGTTTTCAGTATTTTATAGTATGAGAATTTCCTACCAAAAAAGTGTTTTGAATCTTCAATTTAATAATTACACAATATGTTCAGAGTTCTTTTATCACAATACTATTTTTAAAGCAACTTAGTGGTACAGTGAATTCCAGTATATTAAAAAAACAGAATTACAGTAATATATTTTACATCGTGTTTTTCTTTGTATTGAAATATTTTGGGACAGTGATTAAAATCAAACACATTAACTAAGGTACATTGTTGTTTGTTGTTATGGGCTGTCGAGTCGGACCCGACTCATAGAGACCCCTCTTGGGGTTTCTGAGGCAGTATCACTACAGAAGTAGATTTTCCCATCTTCCTTTTGAGGAGTGGCTGGTGGGTCTGAACCACCAGCCTTCTGGTTAGTAGTCAAATGCCTTAGGCACTATGCTACCAGAGCTCCCAACTAATGTACAGAAAGAGCTTAATATTGCTACTTTTAAAACTAATTACAAAATCTTGAGACAAACAAAATTTGCGTTAATGTAATAATGCACTAGTATTTGCAATAAAAGGAAGGAATCTGGTAGCCATATTTCTTCAGATGAAATTGCACTAGGTTACCCATTCGCATGAACATAAATTTGAGACTGGAGAGTTAAAAAAACAAAAAAAGGCTTGAACTGGTTTAGTCATGGTCAATGAAGTGCAAGTGGAACAGAACCAGATTTTTAAAATTTTGGTGAACTGAAACAATAATCGGAATAGAAAAAATGACATTCCTGATCCAAAGTAGCACTGAAAATGGACAAGGAAAAGAAAAATGAAGGGTGGGAAGACGAAAAGGAGGAGAGTCAACAGAAGTGAATTTGAATTTGGGAAAAATTTGGAGTTTACATACAGTATGGATTGAAGAAATAGTTGCTAAAAATGAATAAGCAAATAAGTGAATGAAGAATGTTTGAGGAAATAGATCTTAGAAATATGAGTTCTGCAAAAGTTTTGATAGATGAAATCAAACCATTTATTTCCACCCATACCCTAATCTAAAGTTTGTATTTAGGGACCATAATCAAACATTTCTGAAAGAGTGTCCCAGGATGGCAGATGAAATTTGACGTCTGTAGGGCAAACAATGTACACAAAGGATAGCATTTTAATGTAATTTATTTGAAATGCTTCCAGAAAAGTTTAAGGCCATTATACAAAAACATTCATTTCATCAAAACATTCATTTACTTTCTTCCCATAGGCAATACTTGACAGACCTCTTGTCTCAACACACTGGCCAAAGTGGCTGATGGCTCCTTTTTAAAGAATGGTTCATTTCATTCTTTTCTTCACCATCAATGACTTTTCTCAGCTCTTCCCTGCTTTTATCTACAGCAGGCTCACTCGCTCGCTAAAAGAATAACAATTTGAGAAATAATGCAGTTTTAAATAAACTTGTAATAGAAAAAAATTCACCATGTTCAAAATCTATAAATACAGAAATATGTTTTACAGGGCCAGATTGACCACAACATTTTTTTGTTTTTGAAAATTAATAAAGCAATCTACTTTGTTTGTATATTGATAATCTTATCACACAGCTTCTTTGAGTGCACACGATGTAATGTACATAATAAAATGATGTTGTATTGACTGCTTTTTTTTTTTTTCTGTAAACTTAAAGACACAAGATTTAAAATAAAGAAAAACTTTTTTGGCAATAATTTAGAATCATTACTACTAGTGCTGGCGTGGGTAATAATTTTGCACATGTCATCCTTAATATTTACACCCATAGGGAGCATTTCTGAGTATTTAGTTAACTTTTTGCCTCCCCCCCACACACCAGATCTGCAACCTACCCTGTACTGTACGTCAAGGCTGGACATAGAGGTTTCTAGTTTGGCTAACTGATCCTAATTAACCATAAAAACCAAAACTCACTGCTGTTGATTCCAACTCACTCCGACCCTAGAGGACAGAGTAGAATTGCCCTATTGGTTTCCAAGGTTGTAAATATTTATGGAAGCAGACTGCTACACCTTTCTCCCATGGAACAGACTGTGGAATTGAACTGCCAGGTATTGGTTAGCAGTGGAGAGGTTTAACCACTGTGTGAAATTAAAGAACTAATTCAATTGGCCTCTGGAGAATGTAATTATGACACTGATCACAGCACAGAGTCAGAGAGGGCAAATTGATGACCCAGAAGCACAGCAGGAAAATGCAAGGCTCTCACTTTTCTCAGAAGAGAAATCTAATACTTCCTGTATAAGGTTATGATGATGCACATCCCATGCCAAGTTCTTCTCTCACATGTTTTTGTAAACAGGGTCAGTCTCTGTCTCTTTTCCTCACCTTTTCATTCATGCTATGAAGTGTGAGTAGGTCAAGAGAGATGAAACAGCATGAGTGAAGACAGGGCATGCTTGTGATCCTGGGAGGTTTTCCCCAGGTCCTTTGCATTTTTCCACTCTGATGGCTAGAAATGGCTCTTTAAGCAAGCCACTAACTACTACAGAGCCCTCTTGGTGCAATGTGCTTTTCTGTTACAAATTCGGAGCTGGCAGCTGCTTTGTACTAGTCCTTTAAGGTTAGATTCTATTTCACGTCCTAACAGATTATTGCATCAAGCTTCCATTGGATGAAATAAATTGCAAGGTCAACACAGCACTTCTTCCCTTGCAAAATGAAGCCTCCGGAATCCCCAAGGATGTTGTTCAATGATGCTTTCTGGTTAAATGTCATCGAACCAAACTTATTCCAAGGCATAGAACTTTCCCAGTTCTCTCTCAAGTGCCATCACAAGACTAAGAGAGACTTCTTCATACCCTGTCTGCAAGGTTCTCTAGCTTCCATGCTGTCAGCTACCATGACACAGACCTAGGAGAGCACAAGAGGAACACACGGAGGAACTCTTTAAGCAGTCTACATTAAACAGTAGTTCAGAGATTCATTTTCTGTTTTTTTAAAATCCAGCAGGACATCTGAAAGCAATTTGTTCAAGTACCTCTCCATCCATCCAGACACTTGTGAAATACAACACAGGGTAATAGTTGCCACAAATTCCAGCTTACACAGACAGACTGGCAGTTACAGTACTATGGACAAAGGTACAGATATAAGTGACTGGGTCAACACGGTCACAAAAATATTAAAAAGTGCTTCTCCAAACTGTTCCATGTGTGGAATGCAAATACTGTACAGGTAAGACACAGGGCGACTTCCAGGAAGTACATGCATTTCTGTCAGACGTTGCTTTCAATGTGCCTGCTGTTGCCACAGGAAGAGTCTGTCTGTTCCATACGCTCACAGTCAAGGCTGACCTCACTTGTGTCCATGCTACAGTCTGACTCACTGTCTGATTGGTCCATCTGCTCAAGTTTTGTCTCTCCCTGTGGCTCCCTGCTCCCAGTGGTGGGATTTAGGAATGGTCCCTCGGAGTTAAGCACTCCAGTCGGCCCAGTAGCACACAGAACTGTTTCTTTGGCTTGACGAATACAGTTAAGCCACTGCTGTTTGTTGAAGGTATCGTTGGCTTGTAGCGAGTGGGTCTGACTTTGGGATCCATTTTTGAAACTTACTCTGAAAAAGTTTTTAACTAGAAATGAAAAACACATGGAGGAAAAAGGTCAATAAACAGGATACCCCCAGGCCAAAGATAAAACATGTAGTAACACTAATCCCCCAGGCTCATGGATACCAGCTGCCATCTAGTTGATTCTGACTGATGGCAACCCCATGTGCAGACATCACTAATTGATTACAAAATGTTTCCTCACTGATCCAGCACAAGGCTCAGCTCCTTTCCGCAGCCATCATCAATCAATTGGAGTCCATAGAGCACTAGTTCTCAGCTGCCCACAATTGCTGTAGTAGTAAGTAGGTATCAGCTTGGAGTAAGTCAGTCTTGCACTTCAGGAGACCTCAGAGCACTGGTTATCAAAACCGGCTGCTTATCAAAAACCTCTGTGGAGCCTGTTAAAAATACAGATCCTGGGCCCCAGGAACTTATTAAGAGATTCTGATTCAACTGATGTAGAATGGGTCTGATCATCTGTAATTTTAATAGGTGACCAAGCTACAGCACTCCCAAGTTTAAGATGCTCTTTGTAATGTCCACACATATCTACAACACTCCACATGATAGTACCTGTACACTTAGTACTCACTGAGAAAATATGTAAAGACATGGAACTATTATATATTTAGTTTCATTTTTAAATGAAATTACATTTTAATTAACTCAACAGGAGCAATATACATTTGAAAAATGGTGGCACACAATATGCAAGTAATCTTTGTTTAGTCTAACTATACTACGACTGACTGACACTTAATGGGTCCTACCTACCAAGTGCAATGCTTGGATCACAGAACTAATTTGAACCAGTTCGCTTGCTCTAACCCCATAGCCAATAGCCAATAGCTGGGAACCACCTCTCCAGATGGCTTAGTGGCGAAGCAACAAGGGCAGGGTAGGCCCAGATGCTTCATCACTAGCCATCTTTGCTTAAGGTAATACTAATCCTTTAAACTCAGCCTCTACTCCTTTGCTCTTGGGCAATCACCTTAACCTCTCTGTGCCCCAGTTTCCTTATTTGTACTTGAAGGAAACCAAGACAACACAACTTAAAAGATTGTTACAGGTAACAAATGTGATAAGTCTTTACACAAAGCCTGGCACACAGTATTCAATAAATATGGATTACTACTATCATAATTATTAACAGTAGGGTAGAAGTATTGATAAATAGGTGAAAAACAGTGTATATTAAACATTTTGAAAATATATCTATGTAAACCAAGGAGGTATAAATGTAACTTTCTCAAAGAAGGCTTTCCTAACCATCTCATCTAAAATAGACCTCCTACAGCTATCTGTCTCTGTCCCCCTACCACAATTTATCATTCTCAAGAGCATCCAGAATATCTAGTGGTTTATAATCTATCTCTTCCTTTACAGTGTAAGGCTCGATAAGGGCAAAGAAATTAACTTTGTTCTAGGCACAGTCTACTAGACATATGGACAATACTAATAGATATTGCTATCTAAGTGTTGGCAAAGAATATTGAAAATACCATGGACTGTCAGAAGAACCAACCAACCTATTCTAGAAGTGCAGCTGGAATGCTCCTTAGAAGCGAGAATGGTGAGACTTTCGTCTCACATAATTTGGTCACATGGCCAGAAAGGACCAAGTCCCTGGAGAAGGATATCATTCTTGGTAGAGGTCAGCGAATAAGGACAAGACCCTCAATAAGACAGACTGACACAGTGGCTACAACAATAGGTTCAAGCACAGCAAGGATTGTGATGATGATGGAAGACTGGGCAGCGTTTCATTCTGTTGTACATATGGTCACTATCAGTTGGAGCCAACTCGATGGCACTAACAACATCATCATCATCTAAGTTCCATTTAATAAAGTCTCAAGTTAGACCATCCCATTCAGGTAATGTTACAGATGAACCGTCAGCCCAGGTGACCATTCTTATGACAAGTCTGCCAGCATAAAAGTAAAATTCATTGTTGTGAAACTAGTATCTACAAGGGATTATCTGGTATTACACATGCTTTTCTCCAACAGGAGGAGGCAGAGAAAAGGCGCCACTGTCCAAGGAGCACCAGTTATGTTCACTTACAGTGTCTCACCTAATCCTTATAACAGGCTTATGAAGTAGGAGCACACTCTTCAGATGAGGAACAGGCTCATGAAGGTTCAACAAGGTTACACAATAAGTGAGCAATGCAACAACAATAGAACTCACTTGACTCCAAGGCCTTGGATCTTCTCATTTTACTACCCTACCACTCCCTATGAATTGATGACTTATGATCATAACCAAAATCATTCAAAAGGTCAACATGAGCTGTCATACATACTTCTCTCATTGTTGCTGAAGGCCCCACGCAGGGAGCCGCCCAGCCGCACTTCTCCATCCTGCAGGTCTTCCAGTAGGAGGTCCTTCACGGGGATTGGCTGCCGGTACAACTGGTAGCAGAGCTGCTCATTGTGGGTGACAGCTCGAGTGATCACAAGCACTTCTTGGAACAGGAAAACATGTAGTTTCTAGAAGAAAAGAATTAACCGGATTTACGTAAGCAATAATCTAAAAAGTCATTGATTTATAGACTTCTGTGGATAGGAGGTCCCCAGGTACCAGGTTTACATCAGATTGTGAGCTTTCCAGATGTAGATGTATCCATTGTCTTTCCTATAGGAGCACCTCCCCAGTGGTCCACTGGAAAGAGCCTTTCTATAACAGGGCTGCCAACTCCTGGGGTACTAGGCACATTGTAATTCACAACCTGTGCAGGCATACAGTTTCTAGCTTCCTTAAGACAAAAATGAGAAAAGGAAACAATAAAGGGGGTGATGAAGGTAAAAAGTCAGCACCCTCTGGCTTTGGTGGTTATATCAACCAGCACTACCAGCTGACACTGAGTTGATCTCAACTCATGGAGACTCATGTACCTCATAGTAGAACTTTGCTACATAAGGTTTACAATGCCTGATTTTTCAGAAGGAGATTGCCAAAAGAGGTGGACTAGAACCTTCAAACTTTCAGTTAGCAGTCAAGCTCATTAACTGTTTTTAGCACCCAAGGACTCCTCCATGGTTATACTACCCCATATAATTCTAATAGATCAAAATTAACAACAGTCTATAAAGGATGAGACTGGTCTATCAAAGCCCAGTGTTAATCTTCACTTCTTGAGCCCTAAAAACACTTGTTCTTTTGACCACAGAGCTGATTATCAGCTTTGTCAAGGAGCTCCAACTCTGAACACTGCCCGTTCTCCAAGGAATGAGAACATGTTACTACAACCACAAAGAAAGATGATCAGAATTCTTTTTCTAAGTTTATCAGAATTTGGGGTCTCTGAACAGGTCGTACTTAGAAGGTTGATAACTGATGTGTGTGTTATGGGCAAAAAGGAAGTCTCAAAATGAAGGCTCGTCTTAAACCACATCATAAAAGCACGTTTGCTGGGTACAGCTGTGGTAACTTGGCTCCATCCAATTCCTCTCACAGTTTGGAAATGCTTGGGAACTAAAGTGAAAAGATCCACAACACTACAGTTGGGGTCTTGTTTCCTGTTGGAAAGGTGGCACTCATCTCACTTTGCGAATATCAACTTAGGGGTGGGTACGGATGGAAACATTTGAATTCTGATTTGTGATAGGTGAAGCACATTCAGCATTATTACATACTTTTATATTTTGGGGAAAATAAAGCTGTAGGTCATCCTATAACACCACTACCACACATACACAATGAAAACTGTGGAAAATAATGCTCAACCAGATGTTGGCTGGTGGCAATCAACAACTGAGGATGATTCCCTATATGGGGGTGAAAAGTGAACATTTATGTTTGTCATAAAGGTTAAATGTGCATTTAAAAATATTGAAAAACAAAGAGTAAAAACACAAAGCACACACAAAATAACCAATTAGGGTTTTTTTTTTTTTTTTGGAGTGGAGAGGTGGGAAGAGTGTATTAAGACTTCCATTTTTGGGAGGAGCTAGGAATTATACAAAAATAATTAAGCACAACAACTAAACAAATGAGATTTAAAGAAAAAAAAATCAAGGATTTTCACACTGTTTCTGCTTTAATATTCCAGCTAAGGTAGGCAGTTTGAACTCAGATGGTATGGTGAACTTTTTAAAAATAACCCTCAGTTATAAATATTCACTTAGAACTCCTCTTATTAGTCTCAGTTCCTTTTTGCCTCCAAACTACTATGCTTTTTTATCTGACACAGGACTTTGCTCACAATGACTTGCACAGGTATACTGGAAGAAAAACAACAACAATAGAAACAATAACATAAAAATATTAACTAAAACAAACTTCCAACACCAACTACCACCTTTGTTCTCAAAGATCTATCTGCCTGTGATATGGAGTTCATTTTTTAATGCCTTTGACATATCTAATCACACAGTCTTCGATATAGAAAGAAAACAGGCTCACATTCCATGCAGCGATGCATCTTCCCAACTATTTCCCCCAGGGCTTCCTAAGAAGAATTTTCAAGGATCCAGAGTATTAGATGATGGAAGTCCATCAGTGTTTTCTGAAAACTAGCAAGAAGTAGATACCGCTACCTAGCAACAAGTAACTCCCTAGTCAAACAGATGCATGTTTTTAATTAGCAGCACAGTTCTAATTGTGCAATGCACCATCAGCTGGCTGGATCCACAGCAGCCCTGAAAATGGGTGCTATGACATGACATGTACAGAGTGATTTCAGGAAACATTTCCAAGCCTACCCATAAAAGCCACTTCATAGTTCAGGTTAACAAGGTGTTCTTTGAATCTTCAAAGCTAAATTAAGAACCCAAGGATCTCGTTTTGGCTTTCATTCCACAGGCTAGATATTGAAGACAAAATAGACTTAAAGCAGAGATCTTTTTTCTCAACAAAGATATTTTAAAAACATATATTAATTAAATATGAATTCCTACTTAATTTAATTAAGTGAATCCATTAATTACACCCGATTTCCTACTGGTTACACATAAAAATAACAGGGTAAACTGAATGAATTTTGAACTCTATTTAATTCAAATCCACCTTTCCTTTATATAAGTATTCATCCATTCACTCACTCAATTAACATTTCTGGGTGCTTAATATGTGCCAGTCCCTGAGTTACACAAACGGCTAATATACTTGGTTGCTGACCAAAAAGGCTGGAGGTCTGAGTCTACCCAGAGGTGCCTCAGAATAAAGGCTTGGTGGTCTATACTTCCAAAAAATCACCACTGAAAACCCTATGGAGCATAGTTCTATTCTGACACACATGGGGTTACTATGAATTGAAATTGACTAGATGGCAACTGGTATTATGGGCCAGGTTCCTAGAGCAGGTGCTAATAAGGACTGACAAGACATGGTCCCCATCCTAAAAGGGCATGATCTAGTGGAAGATACTGACAGACGGATGGAGAATTTAAACTCACTGTAGTTAATGCTTCAGGAAAGATTTGCACAAATTTCTATGATAGCAGAGATGGAAAAGTTTCAGTATCTTAGGAATAAAAGATAGGAAATGGACAATCTACAAGTCATAGCTAGAGAGGCAGCCAACAGAAGGGAGACTATTATTGAAAAACAACAACAAAAAAAAACCAAACCAGTCTTGAATGCAAGTCTGTGGATAGGGATCAATCCATGAGAAAGAAAAGAGTTCTTCATAAAGCTAAATGTACTCAATTTAAGAGTTTTCTGTCTTTTTGAGGTCAAATCCTTTTAACATCCTGTTAAAATCACCCTTCATTTTCTGAAATCAAAGTGGAAGGAGGTGTCAACTGTTCCATGTTTTCGAAGACCATAATCAAACAAAATAAAAAGGTGGCAATCTTATGTTGGTTTCCAAAATTCTTTCTGAATATGTACAGGGAAAAATGTGTTCTTATGCTGTAAAAAAACAAATAAAATCAAACCAAACTCACTGCCATTGAGTCGATTTGACTCACAGCGACCCTTCCTCGGGTTTCCGAGGCAGTATCTCTATGGAAGTAGATTGCCCAGTCTTCTTTCTGAGGAGTTGCTGGTGGGTTTGAACTGCTAGCCTTCTGGTTAGCAGTCAAATGCCTTAGGCACTATGCCACCAGAGCTCCTTATGCTGTAAAAGACACAATAAACTACAATTTGTCTGAAAAATACATAACCATGGATAGGGAAGTCATAGTAAGAGGAAGTTCAGCAGCCGAGCATAAGGAGTAGCCCAGGATGGGACCGCTAAAGGAGAACAACCACTCACCACGCCCCGGTTATTCTTCAGTTCACCATGACAACATAGCACCCTCGAGCTGTTGATCAGGGCATCTTTCTGGCCTTCCTCCAAGTAAAGGAGACGCTCTTTATAATAGCGGCATTCAGATTCCCCAGTCTTGGTGTTGATTTCTGCCACAATTCCCTGAATAATGTTGATCTATGGAAACAAAGAGGAGAGTAAGCAAACCATCCATACTAACAATGTCAGGGGCACAGCCTAGATCCAAGACACACTTGGATCTAATTCTAAGATTCTGTCCTCTAAGTTGCTATTTGGGAAAAGGGGGAAAAAAAGAAATAAATGCTTTTAGTATGTGGTATCTCAATGTATCCATCCAGATAGATACACACACACACACACACACACACAATTTATATAATCAAATCAAACCAAACGCATTGCCATCAAGTTGCTTCTGCCTCATAGCAACTCTAGGTTTCCAAGGCTGTATATCTGTATGGAAGCAGACTGTCACATCTTTCTCCCATGGAGGAGCTGGTGGGTTTGAATCACTGATCTTTTGGTAATCAGCTAAGCACTTAGCCACTGTGTCACTAACGCTAATAGGTAATTTTACCCAAGAGGAAGAGATAGAAGGTACCAAATCCAACATTCAGGACTTATAAATACTGAGCTCCACACTGCACATTTCTTAAAGGAAGCTCATGCTGTTGAAAATATTAAAAACAAAAACAAAAACAAAAAAACAACAAAAAACAACTCACTGCTGTTGAGTCAATTCGACACGCTCATAGCAACCCCTCTGGGTTTCTGAGGCTGTACCTCTCCAGAAGTAGATTGTTCAATCTTCCTTCCAAAGAGTGGCTGGTGGGTTTGAACCACCAGCCTTCTGGTTAGCAGTCAAATGCCATAGGCACTATACCAGCAGAGCTCCCAGTTGAAAACAGGCACATACAAAATTTGGCCAAGAAACAAAGCAGAATGCATGAGTTCAGAGAAGGGATCATCTTTGGGGATCTAAAGGCTAGTTGCTGGGTCTCTCAACATGTACTCAGTCTAATCTACAAACAACATTTCCAAATTGGTATGTCAATAAATGGGTTAGATTTTAAATGATAAAACATTAATGTTTTATTGTCAAAACCACTAAACCAAACCCATTGCTGTAAAGTTGATTCAGACTCATAGAGCCCATGTAGGACAGAGAACTACTTCACAAGGTTTCCAAAGCTATAAATTTTTATGGAAGCTGATTGCCACATCTTTTTTCCATGGAGTGACTGGTAGGTCTGAACTGCTACCCTTTAGGTTAGCAGTTGAGTGTTTTAAAAACTGTACCACCTGAGCTCCTTAAATATTTTATAAAGGAGAAAAAAATGGGAATGAAAAGGCACTAGGTATAATGATAGGGTCAGTTTGTTTATGTATACTCATGTCCATGCCTATAGCACTCATGAATGAATAAACTGGGTGTCAAGGATTTCAAAGCAGTGGTGGATACAATGTAGTGCATACCAAAAAAAGGCAAAATAACAACAAAAGAATACCACACTGACACTTGATCATTGATATTCTGATATGTTGTTAATCAATCACATAAGAAATATATTTAAAAGTTAGAAAATACCAAAAAACGAATGAGAAATCAATTTAGCAAACACTCAACAATACAAATTAAAGGCAAAATAACAAATTCTTTTTTTAAAACTTTTTTTAAAATTGTGATTTGGGTTAAAGTTTAGAGAGCAAATTCACTGTCCATACAGCAGTTCATACACATTTTGTTTCCTGACATTGACTGCAATCCCTACAATTCAACAGCTCTCTTCCCACTTCCTCCCTGTAGTTACCTCTTCCCTGTGTCCTTTCCTGTGCAGTCCTATCCCCTGAGCTATCTCCCTGTGCAAACACTGCCCTTCTGTTCTTCCACAATTGATCACTCTAAGGAGTGTATCCACCTGATGTAAATGTTCACCCTATCTGCCTATTTATTGTTCGGCTGGAAGACACAGGAATGAATTCAGTTCCGGACCTGAAGGGTAACTAGGGGACAGTCTCAAGGGTCTTACCAGGCTCTATCACCACTAAACCTGGTCTTTATGATTTTGAATTTTATTCCACATTGTTCTCCCACTCTATCCAGGACCTCCTGCACTGATCCCTTTCCAAGTGGTTGACTAGCACCATCTAGTTCTTCTGGTCTCATGGTCACATAAGTTGAGGATCACGTGGTTTACTAGTCCCTTGGACTTAATTGTTTCCATGTGTTTTGAGTTTTCTTCATTCTTCTTTGCTCTGGACGAGGAGAAATCCATTATTGCATCTAGATGGCCACTTGCAATCTTTTAAGACCCCAGTCACTACTCACCAAGGTAGGATGTGGAACAAAGTTTTTGTGTAGTATGTTATGCTAGTTGAGCTTGATGTTCCCTATGACCATGGTCCCACGCCCACAGGTCCAACTACTTGCCTCCTCAGGGTGGTTGGCTGTGGCTAAGAAGTTATTATAACTTTGCCTCTTGTAAGCTCTATTATATATTTGGACATTCTTACAGCACGTACAAATACATAAGTAGAAACATCACTCGCCAAACTTATACATGGTCATGGGTATAGTACCTTCCGCCCAGACATACCTGATCATCCAGCCTGTCTACCCATCTATTTACCCAGAGATTAATGTTTGTTATCACTGACAATGCAGTATTGTATATGTAAAAGGGTTTATCTTTGTTGTCTGTACCACTTGTTTACTTCTCTGTGTCTTCTTCCTTATTGCCACCATACTGATTACTCACTTTTGGTACATTGTCCTTCCCTTCACCTAAATCATACTTGTCTCTACCTATCTAGCAGTGTTCTCTCCTCCATCCTCCCATCCCTGGTAACCAACAAAGTTTCCTTCCATATATAAACCTTTTCTTGACTTTTTATAGTAATGAATACACTATTTCTCATACTGTGATTGACTAATTTCACCCAGCATAATGTCCTCTAAGTTCATCCCTGTTATGTGGTGCTTCGCAGATTCTACATTATTCTTTAGTGTTGCACAGTATTCTATTGTGTGTATGTACCATAGTTTGGTTATCCATTCCTCCACTGATGGGCACTTCAGTTGTTTCCATCTCTTTGCTATTATGAACAGTGCTATGATGAACATGGGTGTACATATATCTATCTGGCTCTCACTTTAGGATATATACCTAGTACAGATTGCTGGATCAAATGGTATTTCTAACTGCAACTTTTTAAGGAATTGCCATATTGCTTTCCACAGTGGTTGTACCATTTTACAGTCCTACCAGCAGTGTATGAGAGTCCCCATCTCTCTGCATCTTTGCCAGCATTTGTTATTTTCTATCTTGTTGAACTTTGCTACTAATGGAATCTCATGGTTGTTTTGATTTGCATCTCTCTAATGATCATGAGCATTGCTTTATATGTTTGTTGGCTGCTTGAGTATCTTCTTTAGTGAAGTGTCTGTTCATGTCTTCTGCCCAATTTTGAACTGGATTGTTTGTCTTTCTGATGTTGAGGTGTTGGAGTTTTCTATGAATTTTAGAGGTAAGTCCCTTGTCAGGTATGTCGCTGCTGAATATTTTTTCCCAATTTGTAGGTTTCTATGTATAGGATCATATCATCTGCAAATAGGGTTAGTTTTACTTTTTCCTTACCAATCTGGATGCCTTTGATTTCCCTTTCTTGCCTTCTTATGCTGGCTAGGACTTCCAATACAATGTTGTATAGAAGTGGTGATAGATGGCATCCTTGTCTGGTTCCCATTCCCAAAATGAATGGTTTCAGTCTCTCTCCATTGAGAATAATGTTGGCTGTTCGTTTTGTATATATACCCTTTATTATGTTGAGGAATCTCCCTTCTATTCCTATTTTTCTGAGAGCTTTTTATCAGGAACAGGTGTTGGATTTTATCAAATGCCTTTTCTGCATCGACTGATATGATCAAGTAGTTCTTCTTCTTTAATTACAGGATGGATTACGTTGTTTTTCTAACGTTGAATCATCCTTACATGTTGTTGTTGTTTGCTGTCGAGTCAGACCCGACTCATAGCGACCCCTCCTTGGGTTTCCGAGGCAGTATCACTACGGAAGTAGATTGCCCCATCTTCCTTCTGAGGAGTGGC